CGAGCGGTGGGCTGAGCACTTCAAAGAACGGATTAGCTAGTCTCCTCAAACAACCGTTGGAAGAACCCAATGGGTCCGAATGGAAGATTGACACCAATCCGTTATCAGTAACCGAAATCCAGTGAGATATCAACCCTGAAGCACGACGACAAACCTGACCCGGATGGTCTGCAACCCGCGCTCTTCGAAGAAGGTGGCGAGGTCCTGGTGAACGGCAGTGAAGCACCGGTGTTGAACACTGATATCATGCATGATGATGAACAGTCGGGTAACCATGCTGTGGTAGATTTAGAACGAAGAAAGAGTACCGGTCGAATGGAGCTCCTCGACCGTCATTCCGGTTTTCAAAAAGGGTGCGAGGACGTGGTATCAGCCTGGTGTCCGTCGCATCTAAGGTGCTCTCTGGCATTATTTCGCGCAGATTGACGGATTGTTAGAAGAGAGATTAGTGAGAATCAAGCTGAGTTTTTCCCTGGTCGATGATGCATCGACCGTATCTTTACCTTGAGACAGGTTCTTGAACAGCGCCACTCCTTCAAACGATCCACATTGGTCTTATTGATCTGAAAGCTGCTTTCAATTCCGTCGATCATCAGAAACTTTGGCAATGTCTGACAAGGAAAGGTGTCCCAAATTTATGCCCTTTATGAGGGTACTGTATGCAAACTCCTGTGGACGTGTACGAGTATACGACAAGCTTTCGCCTGAGTGTACCACGTCCACCGATGTAGGACAAGAGTTAAAGTTTCTCGGCTTGCCTCTGAAACCTCGGTAGTCGAAATGCTCTCGGACTTTTGCCCACAGGCATTAGGTATGCAGACAATATTGCGCTCCTTGGTTCAGATCCTTACCAAATGCGGACGATTTCAAATAACCTAAATACTCCTGCAGGGATGGTTTGGCGTGTCCTTTGCACCTGTGAATTGTAAAATGCTTGTAAAAGATTGGGTAAGTTTAAACTCACACCCCATGCTTAAGAGCGAGCAAATCGACGTGGTAGATAAATTTGTTTACCTGGGCAGCCGTATAAGTTCTGATGGACTTGTGTGGGATGAGATTATTTATCGAATCGGAAAGAGCAGGGCAGCTTTTGCCAACCCCCGACACTTATGGCGCCGACATGGTGTGAGTTCGTCTGTCAAATGCAGGGTTTACACTGTGATGGTGTGATCCGTACTGCTTTATAGATCAGAGGCTTGGCCTCTACGCGCAGATGGCATACGGAAGATATCCGTGTTAGGCCATCGGTGTCTCCGAGGCATTAGTCAAGTGTGCTGGGAACATCGGGTTGGCAGTGCTGAGGTACGCCAGATGGTCCAAGGAAGAAGGGACTTTCCCGGGATAGATGGATTACTCACGCTTCATGGATTACGCTGTTAAGGACATGTACTTTGTATGCCAGATGACTGCCTCACAGAACTCATTTTACCCACTCCTGTGCTCAGTGTAAGCGACCGAGAGGTGGACAGTGTGTGGCCTGGCAATGAAGTACGAAAACATTAACCAGTGAATTTAGTCGGGTCGTCAACTAGCGCCTCCATGGACGGGGACTCCGAGACTCAACTCACCAATGGTTCAGTCGCGCAGTCGGTGGCGCTCGTGCATCAAAGCTATCGTCTTCAATGCGTTACTACCCGATTCCCGAACTAACTTAACGTGCCATCGCTTCCAAGGCTTGGTTGTATCTCCCACACTCCCATTTTCCGGTGATCGAAACTGTAGTAGCTGGAATCAGTGTGCCTTGATACACCGTTCATAGCTGATAAATCGAATTGAATTATCCTCTTGTATGGATCAGAGACGTGTCTTCTGGGTGCGGCAGATATTCAAGGCCCTGTGTTTGATTACCGGTGTCTCCTTGTATCAGATGGAAGCGACTCTGAAGTGATCAGATATAACTTGACAGTGAAGTATCAAATACCTTGGCAGTCAACTGTCACTTTCGTAACTACCGTCTGCCTGGATAGGGACCGCGCGACGTAGCAAAACAATGGTTGTTGACACTGACAGATGGCTGTCAAATTTTCCCACTACCGTCAATCACTAAATAGCTCAGAAGGAGAATAGTTTCACAAGATGAAGAGAAGTTCTTTCTGAACAGTCGTCACTCAATACGTGTAATAACGGTAATGCCTCGACTCAGTTCTAAATCTGAACCCTCCAAGCTAGTGTTTTCGGCAAAAGAACCACCAGGGGTGCGCAGCTACCTACCCCATCAACCGAAATCATCGGTGAACGAAGCTGTGGCAGCTATAACCACTGTGCGACAAGTACGCGGTTCTTACAGCTGATGGTGATTCAGCAACTGGGTAACTACAACAAGTACGCGTCCTTACAGCTGATGGTGATTCAGCAACTGGGTAACTACAGTTTGGTTCCGACTCATTGGTTACGTCATCTTATGTATCAATCTGAGGCAGTGAAACTTTCACAAAGTCTTGTTGCGCTCGTAATCAAATATTTATATTTCTAACCCTTGTTTCATTTCCTTTACTACCCGCAAGCTTGCAGAAAGCACCGAGTGTGCAGGTATCTAGCGAGCACGATTCACCATGTCTGTTTCGTCAGCCACTGCAGGAGCTATTTCTCTCAAAGGTTCTGCCGATATATTGGTGGACTATTTTTGTAAGTTTCATGTCGAATTTTTACCTGCCGATGTTATATAGTTTACGCAATCAACAGTATCCTCTATCAGCGTGGCATTTATCCGGAGGCGTCGTTCAAAAAGAATACAAAATACGAATTGAGCATCCTGGTTTCCGCGGATGAGGCGCTCAATAAGTACTTGACGGCAGTGCTTGAGCAGCTGCGATGTAAGAACTGGAGATGAATTGACTTCATGCACTTCAGCTTGGTTACTGATGGGTGTTGTTCAACGACTTGTGTTGGTGATAAAATGTGTGAAAACTGAGGAGGTTTTGGAGCGCTGGCAGTTCAACGTAATCATGGAGGATCGAAATGAATCGAAGTAAGATCGAGCCCCAACCATTTTTTCATTTTATCATTTCAGAAGCCCGGAGAAGAAGTCCCTCGCTTCCATTCAGGCAGAGATTTGCCATGTGATACGCCAGATTGTGGCGTCAAATACATTTTTGCCAGTGCTGGACACTTCCTGTACGTTGGTGTGTGATCAGTTTACCTCTTATTGTCCGTTCTCATGGTTGTCCCGGTTAACTACAGCACCATTGTAGAATCGCCAATTGGTCGTTTCACGATAATATTGCGTTGTAACCCGTCACAAAAAAACAGAACCAGGGCGAAGACAGGCTGGTGACTTTATCCAAGGTCGACATCTGACGACGTAACCGAAAACGGTAAGAGGTGGAATTCATCTTAGCGGGGTATACTCAGAACTTTAGTCAAAAGTCAGCTAGCTAGTGGGAGAGAGCATGTGTAGAGAAAGTATGTGGTATTGTCAGTTGTAGATTTACAATTGACTGGGTAAAACATACTAGTAATGGTAAAATGGAAGTGCGCAGTTAGATCGTTACTTCTAGCTCTCCACTGAGAATGTACTGTCTACCTAACTCAAGTTTAATTCAGTCATCCCACGACAAGGTTCCCCGTCTGAAGAACAACTCATCATAAAGACCATTCTTCGATTCCCTGCCCTTTCATTGAAATTGGTGACCTCCCTAACAGGGTCACATTCATACAAAGCGTCCTATATCATGATGGACATCAGTCTTTCAGCAAAACACAGCACATAACTTATCAGTGCGCGCTTCAATTATGTCGGGTCACTCACTGGTGGTGTATGCTCACGAATTATTTATCCCAAGTTTCCTTAAACCCACCGCATCTACCACCTAAATGTTACGTAGGTACTGTATTTTCAGGTTTGAAGTCATCTTACCATACTTATCCACTGCACACCTGTATACCCTAATTAGATGATGGATCTGTTACCATTTCGGAAGTGTGTTACACTCTTGAGAGGCAGCTTTTACCAGCTTTCTGGCGCTCATTGACCGTCTTTAGGCGTTGGAATCAGTCATCGCAATGCGGCACTTAACGGTCCTCATATCACAAGTACACACCCAACAACCATCTGTGTCATTTCTGTCACACCACTTTGAATTTTGCGCTTTCAACCCAAATAACCTGCGATACAAACCGGATTTCCGCTTTATCGAGGAGCGAGGTGAGTACAATAAACCAAATGAAAGAACAAACTGTGCACTCAGGATGAGAGATCACCTTGTAGCCTAGTGGAACAGCGGTTGAAGTGGGATATAGACTGCGGATATCACTTCGTTGTTTCAGTTCTTTTCTGTCCGAGGTTTTACAGTTTCATTTTAACGGGCTATGATGCCTTATTTGTATGTAGGAGTGGGGTATTTGGAACATTAACAAGAGTTCTATGGAAGAAGTGCTCCTGGAATTCATTAGACAGGTTCACCAGGGTCATGCGTACCCACTTATTCATTTGAGGCGAGGTAATCAACCCAAATATGTGGATACAGGCTCACGAAAAACAAAAACAAGACAAGTTGATCGGTTCATAGGAAACCTGTTCCACTTATTAAAGAACTGTTCTGAGTCAAAGACCACATTTAGCGTCCACTGAGGGGAGTTTCATTGCGGGTGGACGGCTGTACTGTTGCTCAGCAGTATAACTCAGCGTTCTCTGCTACTCCTTAACACTTACATTCCATCGGGTGTCCATTCGTCGTTAGCTGGATTCTGTACTAGTGCAAAATTTGAGGGTAAAGGGACGAGCTAATGACTATTCGTCTTAACTTTTTATCGGAGGTTTGCTTACCAGTCGACAATTACTTTACATCTTCAACATCTCGGATAACGCTTTGAACATGAATTACCCGCATTACCCAGCTTTAGATTTGAAACCATTTTTTACTCCTAGAATTAGAATATAAAGTTGAAACTTGTTACCATTGTTGTGCGAACCCACACCCCTATGGGTGGTTGCATTTCGGCTTTACATTCAGTTTGTTGCAACTGAATGCTGTCCCCGCTCTTGTACCTTATTGTCAGAAAAAGACTCGTCAACAGGCAATACAATAACCTTATTGCGAGCAAACGAGTGCGAAAGTTATAAGGGTCTTCGCGGTATTTAAAGCACACTTTTGACCCTGATTGGCGTTGGGTGACCACCCATCATCATCTGCCGTGCTTCTGTGGCATACCGGAACATTCATTATCAGTGGCTGTTGCTGAGTTAATCGACTACTTGACTGGCCTGTATGCTTTCCGGTTTCCTTATTGCGATTTTAGCGGAGTTTGAGGGTTCTAGTAATTTTCGGACATTCTGGGATTATTTCTAGGAATCTGGACTTCCTGACACAGTTGGAGGTGTTTCACTGAATTTCCGGACGTACATTTAATATCCTCATACAACTGTAGTTCTTTGAATTGGTTTTCACGCATTATTCTATGGAACGCTGGTACCTAGGTGAAGGTGATATACTTTTCCTTTGTAATACGACTACATATCTACTAGAGATGGGCTATCTCTGTTTTGACCCCTCACTTCTTATGAACGAATCTGGGTAGCTGTTTGAAGTTTTATTCTTGGCTTGAGTTTTTTCTCTTGTCGGTAATACTGATTTTATCTCGAGTTTCAGGCAAGATGGCCCTCTCTTTTCTCAATTAGATGATGGAGTCATTTGCTGTGACGTTGATGTACTTTTAAGCTCTTCATCCAGAGAATATGACTAGACTCCATATAATGAAAGGACAACCTTAGTCGCAGCGCTTGGCGCTTGCGATGCGTTCCAGACCAGAGGATGGTTTGTGTATGGTCACGTGGAGCGAAATCTGAATTTGAGGATGGGATAACTGACGTAGTGAAATTCCATTGTTTTACCTCAGTTTCGGTCGTTGATAAAAACATCTCTTCAATCTTGTTCATCGATTAAAAGATGAGGCGAACACTGGTGTTCAGATCGCCGCCCTTGGGTATGCACCGTTGTCTTTGGTGACGAACAGGAAGCACCACTGGTAGTGCACTTTTATACTGTCCTTCAGCATACGCTTTTTCTGCACGAGGTGCGAATTCGCACTTCAGTCTCCGAAGTTGCATTTGATCTGAATTAAATTGTGCTGAAGTCAGTATACGACTTTAAAAGTCCCAATTCATGCTTCAAAAGATGCGTGGATTATATGCACCAGCCCACAACACGAGTGGTCGTGCTATTAAGTGGTTCGGGCATGTCTTCTGCGAGCGGCTGATCTAAGGTGTCTTTATGTATTTGGGCTACCAATAACCCAGACCCGTCCATTTCTGGTGTTGGTCGGCATCAACAAATTCACGTGAAGAATGGTCCCGATGTAGAATCCTTTCGACACCTAGCTGCCACACCACTCGAGGGAAGCATCAGGGCCAAGATACTGCCAGGTTGCCCAAGCCTAGAACAGGAGCAGTCGAGATGCATGGGTCGGGTTCGAACCATGGACCTTCCGGCCTATAAGCTCGCACCTTAACCACTGAGCGGCAAAAGACTTTACAGCGTATAACTCAGTCGCGGAGAATGTCTAGCACCATCAACTTTAGTGGTTCGGCTTTTTTGCGATACGAATCGATGCCTGCCGAGAAGCGGTGTTCTTCGCGTTTTCTTTCAGAATAAAGCGAACTGTGCGGTGGGCGGCCCAAAGGATGTGAAGGAAACCGCGAAGAATTGTGATGTTGCTGTGGTCCTACTGTAGCAGCTAAAACCCTTTGTACGGCAAGCTGGTAATGATGGTCATGCAGTCTTCCACATTATGGTCTCCATTATTTTCCTTGCGCTTGGGTGAATACATCGCAATATCTAGTAGCTGTTTTGCATTCCGCCTCTGAATGAACGCCTCAACTTTGAGTGGGGTAACTTTGGTGGGTGTTAGGTGGAATCCCACGCACAAACGGCCTTGCCGCTCACAGTTAGGTGCTGCAGCGGCCGGTAGGCCTTACTCGCACTTGATTGATCCAAAGGCCGAATGACCGACAGCCAATCGTGTCTCAATATCCGCTCAATATCGACCATCACTTTCGCGTCCAGAGTCAACGGAATTTCTTGCATTCATACACTTTAGACACTAACCGCCGTATTCGTTCTTTCAATTGTTTTTGGGCTTTTAGCACTCAACGTACCTTTGTTGATGGTTCTAAGACGTTGGCTTGAGAGGATCAAAGCGAGAGTTGAACTGAGGCGTAACCGTTATTTTGTTAGGCTAATATCGGATCAAGCAATTATTGGCCGTCTGTTTATTCGCTGAGCTGGGCAATTCGATTGCAAACGTTTCATCACCAATTGAGGTGACGTCCTCAGTTTGTTAGGGGCGTAGTGGTGCGTAGCGATGGATTGGTGGTTGTATAAGACGACACATTCGACAACCTCAACCTCATGGATTAAGCCAGAACTTCACGCGCCTACTTAAATCTAGAAAGCTTGGTGGGAGTTCTAGCTGTTCATACGATGAACGTTGATCCTGTTCTGGCTCTTTTTGTCCGTCGGATTATACCGGTGGATCTCCTCTAAGGCAGTTTTGCACGTGTTTTGCGTTGAGTCACGTGTACAACTATATGGACACTCCACAGCCTAGTGAAAACCCCGGCGGAATAAGACTGAAGCGCGAACAGTTCCAAGTAAATCAAGGTGGTTACTTTTAGCAACCTTCTAGGTCCAACACTTTGGGGGTGTTCAGACCGCTGAAACGAGTCGGCTGTAGACGTAAATAGGGACGCCTGGAGTTTGCTCGTTTCGGCTAAAACTGGTCTACATTGCCACTTAATCAAACACAAATGGAACTCATGGCATTCTTTGTTTGGTTTTGTTCATACGCCGGTGGCCATAGAGTCATTTCTGCCACCGTTGCAAGTGGGTGTTCTCACACACGGAATTAAGCCGACGTCATACAGCTTCCATCCAGTTAAGCTGTTAGGCTGCCAAGTATTGCTTCAGCCGATGTTCGATTCAGGAATTGGTTTCGGTCTTCCTTCTTCCAACTTCTCAGAAGCTCCTTGAACCATTCGTTTAAAATATCACGCCGGATTTACACCAGAAGGATACTGCGCGTGATGGTAGGCAAACCTGTGTCCTGCACATGAGGCTTCAACTCAGTACTTGAAGGGTCTTGCATTATTGTGTTCTGTAGAAGAACAGAGGAACCATGTCGTACCTTATCAATATTCTCCCCGATAATTTCACCTTAGCTGATCTAAGAATGGCTGCATGTCCCGGTAATTTCTGACTTTTCTCTTATTTCGAAAATTCACAGAGATGACTTATTGTCCCGGTGTGTTTTCACCTTTCCAGGCACTTTCGAACTGCTTATTTATACGGACAAGAACGCCCAGATCCCAGACGACTGGGATACAACCGGTCCACAGTTTGTGGCCAACTCTGCCGAAATCAAGTTGCGCTCTTTCTCAACCACCGTTCACCGAGTTGATCATTTAGTATCATACAAACTGACCTGCTGATTCGGCCAACGTTTTGTTAACATCCGAGATTCTATTTTTGTCAATACATCTTCATTTTTTCTTCACATCTTGCGTAAAGTTTATCCCTCGGAATAAATTGGTAACTAAACTACTAGGACAAAATGCACTTGACGACCCTTAGCTGTACTAGAGTCGGCGGTGTTTTGGCTGAGTCTCTGTTTGCAGCAAAGCCTTTCTACAGTGATCACTCATGTGGTGACCGATTTTAGCTTTTATTGACAATCTGTTTCTGGAATAAACTGCAGTCTTAAGGGATTCAGCAGCTAGCACAAGTTTGACAACCTTTACATCAGGAAACTGAACTGCTACTCTCCTGAAACTAGGTTGAGGATGTCACAAACAGGCATGGGATTACGATAGCATCTGTTCCTCCAGATTGGCCACTCTGAACTGTCCTCGTAGATGGTCATTTTAAAGAGACCTACCGTGCTTCTCCGTACTGCTAATTTAAGTACAACATCATCTAAGGGTCGAATGAACCTGGTCTGTTCGATCTACGCATTTGAGGGCGTAAGTATTGGATGCTGACTCATCAGAGTAAAATGCAATTTGCTGCAGTCGTTTCACTTCTATCGACAGTACCTGTTGGGCAACAGAAATGGAAATGCACAGCCCATAGATTATATTAGGTGTCATGACCAAAGTACTTCCGAAAATTAGATGGGCCGCGCAATAATTTCGGCGACCGCGGGATGGTAACTGGCGGCCACCTAAGGGACACCAAGTGAGCTGAGTAAATCGTAACAGTACAAACCTACAGCTTTATTCTGTAGGCAGCCGGTGGAATGCTACTTAAGGAAGGGGACGCATGTTGGGAGTTTTCCTGAATGACTGAGCCCTGAGAAAACATGGGAGAAATTTCCGTTTGCTGGTTTGTAATCGTGTAATATATATAGGCGGGTTTATAATTTGGACTGTAAAAAGCGTATTTGAGCGAAGCATATTTTACTTTCGGTGCGATGTGAAGTCTCCTGACTGGTAGTTTCGAAATTTCTAACCTGGCTTCCTGGTAGTTCTTTGTCTACTTGATGGTCGAGATGGCCCAAGTGGTTAGAGCGCGAATTTACTGACCGGAAGGTCCGTGGTTCGAACCCGACCTCTGCCTCTCGACTTCCCCTGTCTAGGCTTGGGCATCCTGGCAGTATCACAGGCCTCGTGCTTCCTTCGGGTAGCATGGCAGCTAGGCACCAAGTGTTACAGCTGAGAGGGTTTCTTTCTTCCTACTGGTCGATTTTTCAATTTGTTTGGCTCAGTGAATTCAAGCTGCATTATCTCGGCCTTATGTTGAAATGCGCGGATTACGTTGTTTTGATTAATATCATCAATCGAAGTCACGCAAAGCGTAGACCAGAGCTTGTTAATGGAAGGCCGCATACTGAGCTAAGGAATCAAACAGCGTACAGCTATCAGACTGTTGCAGGACTGACCACTCTCGGATCGTAATCCGTGATCCGTTTGTGTCGACTCTTCGATGGCTTGAAAGAGTCACGCGCGGGATATGGTGCACGAAATGCTATCAGAATCACTATTTCATCCTACTTCTAGCGCGTCTGATGCAGGCTGATGATACTTGGTCTGCTGATGATCAAACCTATCACATTCGATTTTCAATTGTAGGTGGACCATACGACGGACGTTTTGTTTGAGATAGATCGGTGATTCAGGTGCGGAACTGCTGCCGGAAGGTTCGCGGCTCGAACTCGACCACGGTGTTCCGACTGTTTCTGTCTAGGCTTGGCCAACCTGGCGGTATCCCAGCCCTCGTGCTTCCTTGGAGTTGTACGCAAGCGGTTTGCGCGGAGCCGTGTCTGACACTATGTGCGAGCTGCCGAAGTAAACCCGAGGGGACAATATCGGTGAGTGAAAACGCGGGTGCTTGTTGAGGTCCGTCAGGCGAGCATGAGAGCACAGCACTAGTTCTTTCGCACCAGGGCGCTGGTCTCATTCATCAGGTTTTGCAAGTTTGCGGAATACGGCACTTTTCCAAAATACACAAACGTGTGAATACTCTGGTGTGTTTGGGTGCAGGATGTACAGGTAAGAGGCAAACTAGTAGTAGTAAGACTGTAGACCTCAGCACAGTCATCCGGAAAAATCCGCAAACGGATCTCTGGATTGCACAGGGTCGCTTGGAATACGAGGCGTTTCGGATTGAAGAGACGACGGTACAGGATCGCCGCATTTTCTTTGGAATCATAAAAACGCTTCTGAAAAAAATCGTTGAATGCGGAGTGGACATGATCAGAGTCGGAAAGTCACCTTGCTCAACTTTCATGCCAGTGTCGAACTCGGCAGACGCACGTACTAAGACTGACTCACGGCATTGAAGGGGTCTGTTTATGCTGTCGATCTTTCACGAGACAACCGAGCTTTCGGAGGACGACCGATAACGTCTGCTTACCCACTGAATCGGTCCGAAAATGTCTGGTATCGTCCCCGGCTTTCTTCAAGCTGACATGCTGCAAAGCTGAGATCAATCTTACTGCATCCTCTTCGGAATCCACACAGTTCCTCAGGGTTATTTTCTTCCAGGATACTAGCGTCCAGTCTATAAACAGGGTTGTGTTTACAGTGTAGAGGGGACTGATCTCTCGACAGCTGTTCGTTTTGTCGGATCCCTTCGCTTAAAACTGGTATGATGGTGGAGTACTTCAGCTCATTCAGTCTCCCTGTCTATAGTTCAGGTGGGAATCTCCGGCTTTTCTTCTTGGTTCACTTTGGGTACCTCAGCGGGAGGACAGTTGTGCTCAACCTCTGGGTGAGATATAGTAGGAACATACACGCTGTCAAAAGCAGCGAAAAGTCCTTTTGACTTGACCACTGCGAACTCGACTTCGTGATCCATTCGCTCATCGTATGAAGTTCCAGACCAGTAGAATATGTATTCAGCTTCCTTTAATCTTCCCCAATCGATCAATCGAGTTTCTCAGAGAGTAGCTACGTCAAGACGATAGTGCTTCAGCCCCTTGGTTACGAGGGATGTAGGCCTTTAGGGTCTGTCGCTTTCTTACTTGCGTGAGCAGTTCATGTTCCGACGCTACTCGACCATGCAGCGTTGGAATGATTAGCTTAGATACGAGCCGCCAGCTGTGCAAATCTCAGATTTATTTTGCTTTAGTCTGCCCCAAGACATTCGCAGATAACTTTCAGTGTACGCACCGGATTTTGAAATGGGGTCAACTTACTATTTATTACTACGTGGTCTTACACGGATCGAATTAAAATCAATTTACTAAGCTGACCGAGGTGCCTGAGCCCATCTCACTCTCTCTACTACACTGCGTATAATGTTAACGCTCTTGATACAGTTGCCTTTGTAAACAATCGGAGTTTGGGTTAAGCAGTGAGAACAAGCGCATGATTTGAGATCGCAAATACCAAACTAACGGTTTCCATGTAGTATTCTGAAACCAAACACACCAACGATTCGCTACTGTTTCTAAGACCTAAGGGCCTTCCACTCAAACGAAACGAACCCGAAGACCACACAGAACAAAAGAAGGCATGTTTATACAACCCTGGAGATAGCAGGTTGAGTGGAGTCTGGCAGAAGCGGTTACTGGGACCAGTCACCTGGGTTTAGGAGTATTCACTGTTCTGGGGCCACGAAACCGTAGCGGCTTTTGACCACCACAGACCACAAGATTAGGGGGTCCAGGATAAGAAGACGGATTACGGGGATCGCTCAGTTGGGATGCATTTTCATCCAGCAAGTGAAAAATAGCGGAGACCGACTCTTTTCCTATAATGGAGGATATGGCATCGTCATAATCGCCAACACAAATGTCCGGCACGATACTACTGGCTTCACGAGTACTATGAGGCGGATTTGTTTCTTCCATTAACCTTTCACCTTTCTCTCCATCAAATGCATGTTCTGCATTCTCGAGCTGTCGAACTTGTGCATGCAGACGGTTGCTGAGTTCTGTCAGTGCTTGTTTTTCTCGTGCCAACTGACGGATAATGTTGACAGCGACATGCAACTTTTTTTGGTACACCTTAATGTCAGCATGACTGTCTGACGAAGATCCAAGCGGAACTTGCTTCGTTTGTTGTTGAACTACCTGACTGGCTTCTTCGCTCATCATATTGACAGATTTACGAAGGCGGTCATTTTCTTGTTCTAGTTGCTCACAATGGTTTTGTAATCGATTAAGTTGTTCGATCAGATATTCATGTTTACAGCTAACGGTTGGAGATTTCCCACTTACAGCTGTTGTCAACGCTTGTTCAAGATCCTTGCGCAGACGTTCGGCTTCAGTTCGGGCAATGCGAGCGTTTTTATCCATCATTTTCCGGCTTGCGTCCGCTTCCTTGAGGGACTCTAAAGCCACTCGAGTCTCTTCCCTGGCTCTTGAAAGCGCTTCCAAAAGCTCACGTTTCTCAGCTTCAAAGGCAATCCTAGTTTCCTCGTTTCTCTGAAGGACAGAGTCCAATTCGTTTTTACACGAGGTGATATCCGCTCTAGAAAAAACGCAGAAAAGTGGGATAACAAAATACACTCATTTACATACTAATTTGTTTTTAAAGGCTAGACTCAACTGAATTTCTGGATTATGCTATTCCTCAATTGAAGGTGGTGCCTAAAGGCCGTCCCATGCCCCAGTTGAGTGGGCTTTCAGATAATGCGACATATTTTATTGGTGGAACACACTCCGCACACGGCTGCTGAAAAGTTACGTGGGATCTACACAAGTACTGCGTTGATATTGGATGACCTTTCAACATTCGTCTGTTTGACTGCAAACATCAACGTATCACTGTTCATGGAGCGAACTCCTTCTACTGCCTTTACTACAGTGCACTGGAAGATAATTATGTTCAGCGTGGGGCTTCATCGAACCAAAGCCTTAACGGTGCCCTCAATTCATGTAATCAAGGATCACATACACTGGCTCCAAAGGCTATCTCCCCAATATCTCGGTAATCTCTACATAAGCTTGAACGTTCACCTAATCAAGCGTCAAGGGTGAATTTTGCGAGCAGCCTTTGTCAGTCGTCTTCTCTTACATGGTACTCTGTTTATGGTCATGGATTGGAGCGCTCGTGTTGGGCCAATGGAGAACCCAACCCGCAACATCCTCGGTAAATCCGGTGCGCAATGTGAGGGCGGTGTACAACTAAGCAACTTTGCAGTTCCTAACAGCATGTGTGTCTTCAATATGCACTTCCGACATTCAAGGTGTCATTTTACATGGCACTCGAACGACGGGTGGTTGAATTGACTACGTACCTCCCCAAGTTTATTGCACATCTGGTAAAAACTGTATTTTCCTGTCCATGGCTAAAGTTTGTGATGTACGGTGTTTATACGATATCGCATTACACATGCTGACGTTAGACTTTTTTAACCTCACCTGTATTGACAACTGTCTAATGTACAGAGGAAACGTAACAGTATGCCTATTTCAGTTGGGCTTGCCTTAGATCATCCATTTGTTTCTTAAGCTCAAGTGACCCAGATTTCCATTTGTTTTGTTCTTGTCTGTGCGAAGCTTCCATTGTAGCAACAATCTCCTTGCTGGCAGCATACTTTGATTCCAGTTCGCGGATTTTCATGGTCAGTGACTGATTGTCCTTTTGGGTGCGTGCCAATTGTATTTGAAGGTCATTTATTTCCGCCTTTTTTGTATCGACCTGCCTCATAGCCTCTTCTTTGGCGCACACTGCACGCTTCTTCATCTCTTCAAGCATATTGAGTTGTAGTTCGAGGCCCAGTTGCTTTTGTCCAGCGTTCGCTGCAGCCTTCTCAGCTTCGCTACACACCTTCTCAACTGTTGCTTCCAGTTCCGTGACCGAACGTAGCTGCTCTGCCTCTATCTCAACTTGCAAGCGTGCTATCGTTGCCTGCAGCTGAGCTTTTTCTTCCAGTTGAATCTGCCTGACTGCATGCAAACTGTCCGCATGTTGTTGACGCAGTTCCAATTCACGACTAGTATTGTTTTTTCTACAGGCCTCCAGTTCAGAACGCAACTGCTTTTCCGTCGATGTAGCCAAGTCAAGCTGGGACTGATATTGGTCTACGGATGATTTCATTTCAGTTAGAAGAATATCTTTTTCGTACAAAGTCTGGAACACAGAATTAGAAAACAGTATCGGCCAGTCATAGTAAAAGAGTGGATAACGTTTTTCGGATGCACAGCACAGTTGACCGATAACATAAATAAAGTAATAAATGATAATTAAGCTGTAACACCCTTTCGGCGCCTAACTGCCATGCCACCAGAAGGAAGCACGAAGGCTGAGATGCTTCCATGTTGCCCAGGCCTTGGCAGGAGCAGTGGAGATACCGAGGTTGGGTTCGAACAACGGATCATGCGGTTGGTAAGTTCTGACCTTAACCACTAGGCTATTTCGAGCTCACAGTTGGTAAAGTACCCACCAATATAGTGTTAAAAGGAGACCCGGCTGAAAACCAACTGAATCTGTCGATTATGATATTCTCCAACTGAACGTGTTGCAAAAAGACTGCCTCCTGTTTCAGTTGATAAATATTCGATCGATGAGACACACTACTCTTCATCCGTTCCCAAATAGCTTCGTCTTGGCTGTGCTTAATACCCACCCATCAAAAATCCTATCATCACCGATCTTCGATAAGAGATATATGAAAAACGAATTGACGGCTACTTAGCGCAACGTTCACATGAATCTGCATGAGTAGCTAGAGCTTCTGAGAAGGACGAGTTCTACAGACATGAAAATCGTGGGCCGAATGACATAAAGGAGAAGGTAACTGATACCAACGGAATTCACTTCCGTGGACTGGGAAGAATGTGTACTCAGGTAAATCAGTCTGAATAGGGTTCGAAGCGGCTGATTACAGAAAACATCTTATTGTGGAAAGAGCACGCGGCGTGCAAAAAGGATGAAGCCGTTGTACAGTGCCACTTTCGGCTTCTCAACATAGACAGGCTTCACTTACAGGATGAAATCTCAGTTGGAAATTACCAAATCTCCTGCTATTTGGCTTTGACTTTTTTACCTAGCCAAAAGCGGGGAGACAAGTATCCATGTGAAGACTAGCACCAATCTTCACACTTTCTAAGGACTGGTACCTGCAAACAGCTGACGGTTCGTGAAAACTTTGGCACCAGGGCCGCCTACTACAGAACTTGGAAACAACAAAACTTGGCATCTTAGACTATTGAAATTTCTACCCAAATCGGCTCAAAAAGCCGACTTCGAAACTGAACAAAGGAACGGATGGAAAAACGAGACCGAGCTTGGAAATGATAGAAACCCACCTCTGAGAGTTATTCGGGGGCTTGTGTCGAGCACTGAGCGTGAGAGGAAGCCATTAACGTTCTACGAGGGAGGTGGAGAACATGACCCTATCAATCATTGGCCAGTCAGTTAGCCTCGGTCATCCGGAAGGTCAGGAAGAACTCAGTAAAGAGGTTACTGCGGTAGCATATTGAACAGCTCTCTGAAAGCAACACAGCGGTGTGAAGTTACGTCCAACAGATTGTGCGTTGTAAACCTGCCGCTAGCGCGCAAAAGCTGGGCAACATCAGCTGACCAGACACATCGAATTGGCACTTACGTGAATGGTTTAATAGAGTGAATCAAAACATTCCCCCAATTTTGCTTCGGGAAGATATTTCCCCGCTACCATTTACACACCTGACAACTGACTTCCCAAGGCCACCACCACATCGTCAGGGTGGACGGACAGCTTTGTGAAAGACTGTCGCAGGAAGCAGAGTGACCTGGGGATCGGTACTAGGGACTACTCTGTTCAAAACTCAGGTTATGATGACCATATCATGGTACTAATAATTGGTGAGCCCGACGTGACAGTTGGACGTTTTTACTTCGTTTACCTGTGCTTATTCACGCTGTATTTACGCGCACGCTTTTCGCCATGCTAATTTCTCCAGTACGAGAGAAACTCCCAACTTTCGTTGCATCAACATGCGACACCAACGTTGCGTCTGTCCACCTCCATCATTTTGGCACCACTCCATGCATCCGTTCACCGACCGCTTGTTCCATCAGCAATGCACTGCCAAGTTTTTTATGGTCTACATAACGTTCCAAACCTTGACGTACACCCATTTCTTACACTTCTTATCCAACGTCTCGTATGGTCAAATATGAAAAGACACACGCAGGGACAAAAGCTTGTCTACAATGTCAACGTTCAAAGATGCTTCGCCATACTCACTCACACATCGGTACCTTTCCCATTCCGGACCACCGATTTGGCCATATGCACCTCGATGTTGTCGGACTTCTCCCACATCTGTTTTGCTCTTTCTCTAGAGGGGGAGTATTTGTAGTGGACATTTTCTTGTTCCCTCGACCAACTTAGCTTAATTTGTCTAGTACATCCGTGTCCACTAGATCACGCAACTCGCCAGCTCTGCAGGCACACAAATCACGTGGAAAACCTGTCCCGCTCGCAACCCTGACCGACAGCAATTCAGTTCCCGTTTTGTACGCATCGAAACGATTCTGTGTACTATACACACGTCAAACCTTCCTATATATAGGAAGACATAACACAACCAACACACATACTCGCGCGCGCAGTGGACAGGGAGTCAGACAAACACTCCAAGTCCACGGACAGTTACGGAACACATGTAGCAGCTATACTACGGAGAAAACAAGTTTCTGCCAACCGCACTTTCACTCAGGAACTTTCAAAAACGACGAATTCCACTTCTGATTTACTTTATCTTTCGCACTGCATTTATTTTATACACGGTGCAACTCGCTACTGTAACTACTGTCAACCATAGAAAGGACTGTTTTTAGTGCATATACCTTCTGAGTTATATTATGGCTATCATAACTTGTGCACTAATAGGTACACAGACTACCTCAAAATCTGGACTAAAACTGGACAATATTCGCTGATAACCTGGATATCTGACGTTGCATCCTCAAGAGTGAGTATGAAAAGCCTCTTTGGATAGAGTAGGAAACTGGCTGGAGACACCAAACTAGTGGTAAACCCAGTTAAATGCCAGTAACTATCTGTGGGCCATACTTCGTATTACATAAGTGGTCAACTGGTATCGTGGGAGTCCGGGGTTTGTAACCTAGGCGTAGCAATCTTAAAGTGAAAGTACACACCACCATGACCGTGGGAAAATGCTAAATTTTATGGACCCCCAGAGGGTCCATTTCCCAATGGACCAAAGAAAGTGTGCTCAAACTTCTGATATCCTCACCCGAACAGCCATGGAGTACGGATAGCATGAGTACTTTCATGTTCGAAGGTTAGGAAGTTGCAGCGAGAACGACCGTAAAGCCTGGCAACGAGAACGTTTCCAAGTTTCAGTAATCTCAGTTGTGTCGACCGCTTAGCCTATTTACCCTCGAATATCACATGGCTGTCATGCACATGACTATTTCTCGTTCGGATGCGGAATGAAATATTCCAGTGGTAGGAATCTCGATGGCAACGACAATCATGCCATGGCATAAGCACAAACCCGGAGTGTTCAGGCCACGAAAGGTCCGGTGTTAACACGGAATGGGTCTGACATAGGCCACCTAAAATTTGCTCCCATCAGTCTGAAAGTGAAGCGGGATCTGTTCATCAGAGGGCACGTTGATAAAGGTATAACAAAATTAGGTTTTCTACACGCATTGGTCGTCGGGGAGATTAGTGGCAGGGCGCCATAGTGACGCTTCTCATACAATCTACGAAAAGAACTCAGACATAATATAACGTCATTATGGAAACTTATATTCCTAACTCCATCGAAAGAATCTAGTACTTCCTGACGGCTGTGATGGGACGAATAGCAGAACATCATCTCCGGCAGAAGAATAAGCAAACAAGTTCCAGTCACTGCAATGACTCACTTTCCTCAAGTCCGAAATTTGTGATTTCAGAAGATGAATCGCGGAATCGCGTTCTTTCATGGCATTGAGATTGTGTGTGAACGCCTTCTTTAGTTGCTCAAGTTGATCGCACTTTTCATTTAACTCTTTCTGATGTTCGGCCGAAAGTGCCGTAAGGCGCTGAATTTCAGAGAGGAACAATTCCTTCCATTCGGATTCTTTCTTGAAGACTTTCAAGATGGTGAACGTAAGCTGGTACAATACCTTACTTGTCTGCAGAATCCCTTCTGACTCTCCACGTCCGCCCATTTGTTTTCTGATTTAAATTGACGGGCTGTTCTGATAACTTTCTAGTGGCCTTCAATAAGGCTCGTTTAGTTCACGACTGTGTTAGGGTACATTAGATATATACACGACTAGAAAGGATCGTCAGATGTCGCTTCTGGACTCAGATTCATGGGGTGATTGAAAAAGGACGTGGGTGTGGCCATTTTTGGTGCTGGGCACAAATTAATAGAACGAATGTCAATGTTGGTTCACGGCTTTGCAAAAAGGATCAGATCAATGGCCAAGCTTCCGGGTCGAGTTCGCTCTTATCGTTCGTCGGCCTCTGCCCACCTGAAAGCACTAGCGAAAGTGGTTTAAAACCGCTGATCGCCTCTTTGGCGCCAGAAAATGAGCTTCCAAAAGCAAGGATTCACACAGTAACAAACATGCTCCTATTTATGGACAGCTTAACCCAAGCCAGGGACGAAGGATTCATATCGGATGCCATATTTTTCGACTACTCAAAAGCATTTGATAGGGTCCCACACGTCCCGCTGCTCCACAAACTCGAGTCTTACAGGATTCAAGGGGAAATC